TAGGCTATAAGTGTTTGACAACCTCATTTAGATCAATAAGTAATTTTTTGTACCCATTTGTATTTTCTATAATATTATTGTTGTTTAAAATTTATAATAATAATAGTTCTATCGAAATTATTCCCCTTTTCCCAGAAACTTTCAATAACTTGACCTTCACGTAGCCCACGAACATTTTGTCGTGTAGCAGTAAGTCAGAATACGCTGTCAGAAAGAAACTCCTTGAAATGTCGATGCTGAAGAGCAGAATGAGATCTCATAAAATTAATCAACTTGACCAATCTGTCCATCACTTCTTTCAGTGTAGCACTATGTTTTCCAGAAAGGGCTGCCTGCTAAATTATGCACTGATACGATATTCGACCTGAGTTTTTATCCCTGATTCTCTTTACTATACCTTTTTCTTTGCCAATCTTTGCTGGGGCCCCACCAGTTGAAAGCGACACCAGTAATAAATTCATCAATGACCTTGAATAAATTTTCTTCTCGTGTGTTACCTTTCACCGGCAATATTGCTAGCAACTCTTCCCTAAAAATCTGACACTCAATATCGGAATTGCAGTCCTCAAGTTTTTTTCCACATAATTTCAAAGAATTCGGAACCCATCCTTTACTTCCTCAGCGATGCACAATGATTAGTCGCGATCCTTTGTTTGCAGGCTTGTTAGGCGTACACATTCTCGAACCGTCAGTCCAACCTTTCGTAACTGTGTCGTGAGTGGCATATCAAGTTTCGTCCAAATAGAAAATTTGCCGTTGTTCTTGTCCATATTTAGTTATTTGTTTTGAGTATTTTTTACGCAATTTCGTTATTCTTCTGCTTTCTATAACTGCTTGACGTTTGTTTATTATTTTAAATCTAAATCCTAGTTTCTTTATCCAATTCTGAAGAGTTTTATCGCAGCAGCTCACGTTATGGCCAGAAGTATTCGATTTCTTCCTTATGATTTCAGTTGTAGGAATCTCATTGCATTTGTAACAGCCATTAATTTTTTGTCATGATTTTATTGTATGNACAAAACTTGAGATGTAGACTCTTATATACATTGAAATATTCTGTGTTTCAATATTCAAATGCATTCAATCTTATCCACTGGTATCTCTTTTTTGCATTGTTCACCTTCTGATTGGAATCATTACACTGGAAAACAGTCTGCGTTGTTTTCACACTCGTTATTACTATTTGCACTTGTCCAAGGACGCCAGATTTCAAACAGATAACAAAAAATTTTAAGTAATCATAACTGAACCAATATCGAATTTCAACACTCAAATGGCGATCCGTTCCTGAACATTGACGACACAACGGCGATACTTATCGCCACATTCTAACCGTCACCGTAACATGACTTCAAATTAAATTTTATGACTCTTCAGCCAATCATCATAAAACTTGGTTAGTAAAAATTATCCAATATGAACCGTATATTCTTCAGTCCATGTGGACTAGTTTTCAGCGGCATTATTTCTCTGTATTGTTTTTTTTGCCTTTGAGATGCCGATAGCTTTAAGTATTCACTATAAAGGTTACTTCGACTATACTTTCATGTAAAAACGTTACTATATCAGTAAGTCAATTTGAAGTAAGCAAGCCCCCTTTCAACCGCCACTGCTCAATCCAAGTTAAATCCTACTCAAATATGTTTCGCAAGACCTAGCAATCGAATGCAGCATGTTTATTATACATCCTTATCATATTCAACAAAACCCAGTCTATTTTTAAGTAAACGTTTTATTTGAACAAGTCATTTTGATGTTAGTGATAGAGCATCGGGCTCTCAATTGACACACGCCACTGAAGGTCAATTCAATCAAATCAACAATTAGTTGTGCAAAGAGTTTGTGTGTTCAAACTGCAATAATTTTGAAATATGCATGATTTGCGAAGTGTGGCATAGAGATGGTTTGGAAGGGTTGTATATCTATTTAGTGGAGCAAACTTGACGAAGGTATTATAATTTTGTAACCCTGAATAATTGCAGGTTAGGTTAGGTTAGGTCCAAAGTGAGTGGGTCTATTCGACCCTCCACCGCAACCCGCAAGGGTTTATTGTGGCTCACACCTATTCATACTCGACCAAATAAACTCAGCTCCTTAACGAAGCCGATTAGTTTGTATGGTGAGTGGTCTTTCAGGTCAGATGAACGTAGTCAAATACTCCAAAATCAACCTATACGCTGATGATATACAATTACATCCTTCATTACACCCATCGGACATGAATACTGCAATGCTGATACTAAATGAAGACGTAGCCTCATTGATTTCTACCTCTGCGCAGCATTGTCTTCAATTCAATGCTAGTAAAAGTTCAGTTTTGGTCTTTGGGGCTAAGAGAAAACTGAATGGCTTTCAATTAACTGTAGACAAGGATGTGGTTGCACCGACTGAACATGCAAAAAATTTAGGTTTCATTCTTGATTCAAACTTGAAATTCAAACATCACATCAATAAATGCATCAGTATTGCCTATATGAACATCAAACAAATTTATACCAACAGACAATGTCTCAACAAAAAAGTAGAAACCATACTCTGTGAAACGTGGCCAACATATATCACATAAACTCAAAGATACCAACTGGCTCAATATGGCAAAATGACAATCATTACATGCTGCTTGTCTATATCATGAAATTATCATTGAAAAAGCTCCCATATATTTATACAAGAAATTGTCATACCGTTCAGATGTTCACAATATCAACATTCGTTACAGGGGAAGACTAACACCCCCTATACACCGTACAGAATTATTTAAAAAATCTTTTTCATACCAGATCGCCCAAGTGTACAACTCAATCTCTGATGAATTTAAACTGATGTCTTTGAAAAAATTCAAAAGAGCATTGAAACGGAAATATTTTAACGAAATCTAATGTACACCCATTGTCAATAAGAATGGTGGTTCGTAACATGACTACCTTCTTTTTTCTTTTTTCTAACCGTTTATAATTATGTCTAATATACTATTGTGTCAATTATATATTTAGTACTTTCACTCAACAATTTGTAATTAGTTTTTGAATATTTATCTTTGTTATTTTTTCTTTTGATTTTTTTCCGTTTTTTTGCATTATATATATGGATGTGTGTATATGTGTACATATATGTGTATATGTAATGTGTGTACATGTGTATATATGTATATATAGTTTGTTTTTTTTCTTTGGCCTAAGATGAAAAACAGAGGTTGCATCTTTTGATGCAACCAACTGATATTCAGCCTTTCCCGTTTCAGTAAATTGTCACATTTATTTATTGTATCATTTGAGGAATAAAGACCTATTATTATGTAATGAGTACGACTCTGCCGAACTCTAAAAACGTGATTCGGTCCCTAGCAAGGCAGGCAAATATTATGTGCTCTACTGTTTCATCATTTTCCAAACAGAGCTAACACACACTGTTTTTGATGCTGCTTGCAGCATCCTCCTTTGTGCAGGTACATATTTGGAGAAATTAATATTATCATTCTTAAATGAGCTGCATCAACACTCTTCCCTCATTATTGAATGAGGACACAAACTGAAATTAGGATATAGAAAAAGTGTGACTTCTTGTCCAACCTGGTTCCTCTTTTTTAATAATATTGATAATAATAAATTCATTGCCCATCAAAAATAACAAGAAAACCAAAAAATGTACAACACAGAGAACAAAATACACTTTGTATTCGATGTGCAAATGGCTTTTGGTTCAGATCTCGAATTTGCATTCATTTGTAACATCCGTAGTCGTTGATTGAAACGGGTTACATTGGAACTGAATTATGGGCTGCCGGAACTCAGCGGAGAGGGATGATGGGTAAATATTAGTCCACTTGGAAGATAAGTGTATTGTTTCTTTAAAGACGCCAAGCTGATGGTGATTACAGATTTATGGCCCAGAAGTATACTTTTGGGTTCACAGATATAGATGTAAGCAACTTATGATTAAACTTAAGGGGTGGTAAATGCTTGGTTTATTTTACAATTACCAATTTGTGCCGCAATGTTGATTCGAGGTCGTGCGGGAGGGTGTAATACATACAGAGGAAATACCTTACATGCGTGGGATATGGAAAGGTAGTCTCCAGCAGCACGGTTCAACCCCTCAGACAGTGATCTTTCCCATGCAGATAACTTGCTCCTCGGAAGACCGTAATTAGAGATATAAGGGGTGTAGTGGTCTAGCCTTGCGAGAGATACTCCAGGATATAGTTCAACATATCGACTTGAGGTGGTAATAAGAAGGCTGTAGTTATTGTGTGGCTTGATAAAAATTCCCAATGCTGTGGATGAGTTATTCCCGTATTGAATATTTTGGTTTCTTCAAATCCAGAATGTGATGAGCTGCTCCAGAGAAGATAACCAAAATCATCTTTCATTCCAAGAGAAAATAACCCTTTTTTTCCTTTTTTTTTTCTCCCTATCAAGGTCGAATTATACTGATTGTCTTTAGGCACTAAAAAACTGAAACTGAACTGTTTTAAATATTATACAGGGTGGATGCTGTGCATAAAAATATGAATTTAATACATTACCTTTCTTTTAATTTCTGTGCCATTTTTTTTCTTTAAGAAAGTGATTAGTGCCAATTACTAATTATCAGTCAAATTTACTTTTATCTTATAAAAACGTGTTACGGTTCTGAGAACCGTAACACGTTTCTGCTCTCCCATCAATGTCCCAAATATATAAAAATGAAATATATCAGAGCTTGACGAGAAGGGAAGAGGAAAGAAAAAAAAGGAAAGTTTGTTTATGTATATATTAACTCAGAAATTGGTTTTGAAAAATGAACTGTTGGAAAATAGTGTCACTGTTGGAAATAGGGTTTGAAAGCCGTGGATTTTTGGAATTTCTTCCTGACGTTTCGCTGGCACGAGTTGCTAGTTTCTTCAGAGGTTCAACCATCTTGGCTTTTTGTCAGATGACAACCTTTTTGGCTTCGTAAAGCGTATTTATGCCTTGTCAGGTAATCAGTTGTATTTGTATCTGCACTTGTACCTGTACTTGAACCTGGAACATCAACAATCTTGCCGCCTGTCGTCATTCTGTTCGTTATTCTTGAATTCCTTAAAATGGGGTTCCATATTCGATTGAGGTTCACCGTTTCTTCTTTTCTGTTGAAATTCTCCGTGTGTTTGTGGATCTCTATTGCCTCCCGTTCCAGTCGGCTATGGTATCCCTGGTTGAGGGCAATTAGTTCTGTGTTTTCAAACAAAATTATGTGGTCTCTTCCACTAAGTGCGTGTTCTGCCACAGCTGACTTGTTCGTTTGGCCTAGTCTGCAGTTCATCGTATGCTCTTTCAGTCTTGTTCTCATGGATCGTTTGGTGATTCCGATATATGCCTTCCCACAAGTGCACGGTATGCGATAGACCCCTGCTGCTGATAATGGTTCTCTTTTGTCTTTAGCCAACCTGAGGCTTTATTGTATCTTCCTCGTGGGTTTGAAAACTGTTTCGATGTCGTATTTATCCAATAGTTTTCCAATTCTGTCCGTGACCCTAGGGATAAACGGTAAATATGCGCGTGCAACCATCTGATCCTTTTTTGATTTTTGAACCGTGGTGCTCTTCGGTTTCATGGCTTTTCTGATCTCGGAGGCACTCTATCCATTCGATCTCAAGGTCCCTTCAAGGTATTTCAGTTCCCTCTCCAGATGTTCTGGTTCACATATTCTCCAAGCCCGTTCCGTTAGAGTTGAGATGACTCCTCTCTTTTGGCTAGGGTGGTGGTTCGATAGTGGTTTTTTCCAACAATGCAAAAAGAACTACCTATTTTCGTTTTTGTATCTGAAGTTTGAACAATCAATGATTTGTCCATTGATTTAATGTCTTTTATTAATAAATGGCACAGCTCTTCACGCCGGCAGGCTCCATATATTCCGAAAATATTTGCGACTTTTATCATCAAATATTTTTCATCTGGCGCCTCATTTATAAACATCTGAACTTTTTCAAACGTAAGAGTTTTTGATTTTTTGGACCTATAACTTTCATTTTTCTGCTTTAAGGATACTATATTACCGAGTGCACTTGACTTTATCATTGAAAACTTGCCCCACAAAGTTGACGATTTGTTTGATTTCTCTTCTAGATAGGCTAATAAGAGGGTTTCGCTGAAATTTCCTTTGACGTTTTTAAGTCTATACCAGCTGAGAAACTTAGAATATGCGATGTCGTACTACTGAGTCGATTTTTTTTTAACAATTCAAATGAAGCTTTTTTTGCAGCCTCAATATCGTCAGGAACACACAATTCCTCAGCATTGTTCTTCATTATGCAAGACTGTAACACCAGCAAGAACTATAAATGTGACTTTAACTAAAACGCGTGAGCTGTAAATAATAAAATAAATAAATAAAATAAATAATAAAATACTGTTTGTTGGTAACCAGGTGATTCGGCGTCACCTGGCACGGCTACTTCACAGCAAATGCGATAACATGAAAATAGTTAACTGACAAGAGATGTCAAAATGTGTTTTTATAGAAATATTAAATTTATATATTATGAAAACAGGACAATTGTACAAAAAACTTTGTATGATATTTGTGTTAAAAGTAAGTTTCATTTTGTTACTTTCAACACTCATATCATAAATATCTATTTCATCAGATGCACTACGGTTAGTATACTCTTTTCTCAAGAACTTTTGATAGCAATGATTTGATGCCGTCAAGGTTCCTCTTTTACGAATATCACAACACCGTTTCAGCTATTATAGAAATTTCATTCCATTGAATTTCTATACTTCTGGGACGTACTGTATATATATGGCATAAAGTATCATCTCAAATGTTCGAACATATCGCCTGAAATAATATCAATATCGGAAAAAACGTACTATCTTTTCAATTATGATTGTTTTTCAGGACATGCTGAAGTGACTGAACCAACTATCTATTTTTATCGAGAAAAACAATAATATTCAGCATGCTGATAAATACATCCACATAT